TCGGGAGAAGGTAAAAAATAGGTATGCTTCTATTTGTCACCAAATCACATTTTAACCTTTAAACATTCAATCCCTGCACTGATTATGATCTCATTATAATATAAGAACTTTCCAAAATTTACCCAGTCTCCTTAGATTTGGTTTTTATTTATTTTAGTTAATTTTAATTTTAGAGTAAATTAGGAATTTAGGAAAACAAAACTTTTCAAAAATTCCAACATAAGGTCTAATAGTAGTAGATTATAATTAGCCAAAGAGATTTCTCACCTCGCTTTCCTGTGGGATCGATATTAGGGATTGATATTAGGGTTTTTAAAAAAAATCCTATATTACTTGAAATGATATGTATACTTGCATAGAACCCCAAGTGTTTGAAATATAAATCAATCTAAATTCTATATCATATTCATTTTGCACACTAGCTGTTTAAAGAAACCAGTTCATGTTTTTGGCTTGAAAACTAAATAACTGCATAATTTCGAGTTGAGTCACCTCAATAGCATACATTTAAATGGATATATTTTTAAATGATTTGAGGAGTGTGGTGTTAATTAAAAATTACTTCAATATTGAGTAAAGAATGAAGTAGAATCCTTATTTGAAACTTTATGCAAACGAGTCTTCACTAAAGTTAAGTAACTTGTTGGTGAATATGTAGGAAAATGTTGTTTCTATTCATCTTTTGAAAATGATTGTATATGTGAATAATTATGAACCTTTAAATACATTATATAAGAGCCTTTATTTTTTTTCAACTAATACTACAAATTTAAAAAAAATTGTTAAGTGAAGAAATTTGATAAGTTGTCATTTTAGTGAAATTAAAAAATATTAAGGACCTATCCTCATATAGTAATCCTCTTATAGATATATGAAGGTTTGAAAAATAACCTAAAGTAAAAAGGATATGAAAAGAAAAATTGAATAAGTAAGGAGAAGCTTAATTAAAAATTATTTTCACTAGAGTCTATTTAAATTTTTAACTTCAACATGATCCTAAACTTGATAGTTTTTAAAAAGTATTAGTCAAACTTCTTAAATGAAGTGCTTAAATCTTATTTTCATTCTCTAAAGAACCTAGAATTAATATGTGTCAATGATTTTTGGAAGTCGATAGAAAATGAGAATTTCTAATGTTAGCTATAAGGATTACTTATACCGTATTGTTAAGCTTATTTACTACAGTTGATTCTAATGAACTATGATATTCTTAAGATAAAATTGGAGGAGATTTTTATTAAGTTCACTACATCAAATTAATAAATATAAATTAAAAATTCTGGTGTTACTTGAGGACTAGTAACATTTAAGTTTGGGTGATTTTGATATGTCTTATAGCATGCTCAATTTCCTTTACATTTAACACTTATTTTTTTATGGAATTTTACCTTAAGAAAATGTATTTTTTGTTTTTATTGCATGTATAATAGGTAGGAGGACTTGAGCTGAGATGTAGTGAAATGGAGGCAAAAATGGAGTAGTTGGTGAACATTATGTTTCCAACACAGTGATGCCTAAGCCCAAGACTTCACCAAGTAGATAGAGCCAGTGGCGCCTAGGCATCAGAACTGCCCAGGGTAGTTTCAACAGTTACTTTAGCATGAATTCAGAAGTTAAGACAAGTTGGAGGTAGTTCAAGCAAGCCCCCTCAGATCATTGTGAAGACTTGGGGGAAGCCATGGAAGGCAGTAGAGAATAGTTTAGAGCTGGTTACTTTTTTTTTCATTTTCTTAGAGAGATTGGAGGAAGACTTGGGGGAAGCCATGGAAGGCAGTAGAGAAGAGTTTAGAGCTGGGTTTTACTTTTTTTTTCATTTTCTTAGAGAGATTGGAAAGGGTTTTGAGAGAATTCTGTAAGGGAATACTTTTAGTAGTGTAAGGAGCATTTCAAGATCACTTGTGGAGGAGTTTTTACCTATTTTCTTGAGGAGAAAGTTAAGTGTTGCATTCTATGTTGTCATGTACTATTTGTAAACTCATTTTCTATAGATTTGCTTTATTATAAGATGATGAATTGTACTTTTCTCTTCATACACTGTGAGTAGTTCCTTTATATCTTTCTCATGTGATGAATTTGATGGAGGTGTAGGATATTAAGATGTTTTTAGAATATGTTTTTATTCATTAAAGTGATTGGTTTCCTTTGTGCTTAGTTTACTTATCATTCTGGCCAAATGATACGTTAAAATTCATTGTGAACCCATAAAGACTCGGGATAGCTATGACATGAACAACTAGGAAGAATCACATTGCACTAGTAGGTGAAGGAAATGTAGCTTATAGGGCAATGCAAAGAGATAACAAAATACAACTTAATGGGTCAAATTGGGGTTTTTAAAGTGACAGACAGAAACACTAACCAAGTTGAACCAAACTTCTTTATGAACTTAGGAGAGGGTAAGGAAGAGGATTACTCCTATTTGTAACTAGCTACAATTTCTATTCTGTGTTCCATTCCTACACCCTACTTATGTCATTGTAGGAGTAGGGTCATTTTTATATCTTAATTTTCCCACTTCATTTAGCTTTAGTAGAATTACCTTAAGAGTATATCAATATAATTAGAGATAATTTAGTAGGACTAGTAAACATAACTTAAAATAACTTTACTTTCAGGCTAAGACTCATTATATTAGGCTAGAACTTTTCTTAAGCTCAATTATAACATTCTCTGTGGGATCGATAATCCAGACTAAATAAACCGATATTACTTGTACAACACGTATACTTGCGTGAAACTCCTAGTGTCTAAATTTCACTTAAACTGGGAAAGGTATCAATATTTTGGCACAGTTGCATGTAGTTTCAAGTTGCTGCACAAATCAAGTTTCAGAATTCATAGTATCTGTTCAAGATTACAAATAAGTACATAGTAGGTACACCAGGAGAATATCTAACACCTATACTCCACTCTGCCTAAGAGCTAGATTTCCTTTGGCCAATCCGAGAGCAGGTCCGTAGTTGGCACCTTGCATCGAGGAATCAAATGGTAGGACCACATCATCTGCGCCAACAAACAGAGTTATCAAGGTAAGAGAAAAATTCCTAAGTAAAAAGATCGAGATTGCTCGTGCTAAGGAGGCGATCTATCTCATACCACCAGAATGACCAAAAGCTCTCACCAGGCTATAGCGAGGAGTCCAATTGAATGACTCAATTTCATATGTCAAATCCTCCACCCATGTCCTCTTGTAGGCAATGTGCTTAATCCTCTTTCCAACTTTTGGCCTCTTTGTTCCATTGGGCCTCCTTGCACTATCCAACCGACTTCATCATAATCTTGCGTTATGGCAGAGTACCTCCTTTAGGCCTCTTTATTCCATTGAACTTTTTCTCGCCTCTGGACCAGGTCACTCCGGTAGACTTTTTCCTTCTTCGTCAACTCCTTCTCAGGATGCATCTTCAAAGGGGATACATCGAAGGTTTTCTTCATAAAATCCTCAGTAATAGGTTCCTTTATAAGTTCTTAGTAGCTAGCCATGGAAACACACTTGTGGTCAATAGACTGAGAGGAAAGTTCGGTAGTGAATGCAAACAAAAAACGTTCCAATCACACCCTATTTGAAGAGGCCACAAACACAAAAATTAAAGGAGTTCATTTATTAGAAGCATTGATTATGAAATAGATAAATATACTTTTGCATTAAATTCTATTTTTCTTATTACATGACTTTCAAGAAGCAAAAAATCAAGAAACTAAGTATCTACATCAGAAAACTGTTAGTATGAATCTTGAGAAAATCCAATAGACAAAATGATAATAATATAAAATTAAAGGGCCCATTGGTAAAAGAACACAAGACTCTTCAACGTAGCACCAAAGGACATCATTGACTAAGGATGAACCCCAACTTATTTGGACCCAAAGTCGACTTGATGCAGTCCTTCTGAACCGATAGCCCAAACCTATCTAGAAGATAAGAGGCTCTAGCCTGACCCCCATCTTAGTATTATCAGTTGCATCAAAAGAAGTCACTAAGGCTCTTCATTAGTGGCCGAAGGTTTTACCTTGACATCTTCCACAAAAACCCAAAAGGACCTTTTGTCAAAGAGGTAAGCTACATGTCAGATTATGACGATTCACCCTCTACCCGACAGCCTAATCGCATCCCATCGGCAAGACTCTTGTTCTAGGGTGAGGAATCAATAGCTAGACTAGAGCAATTGACTGTCAGAGCCCAACCGACCAAATAAAGTCTGGACGATTGAAAGACATTGGAAGCCGACCGATAGATTCATCCGACCAAGACAAATATCATAAATCAAGAGTTAATCATCAAGCCTATCGATAATCCCTACTCAGCACTGTTAGGTGGATGAACCTTGTCGAACCAAGATCCTTTGACATCCAACGATCGAGCGATAGGGTGGCAGAGCGTAGGCGTAGGCCTGTTTATGTAAAAATACCTAGAATAGCCCATAACGCCCCATCAAAGCAGAAGTAACTATGTAATTGTCCACTTAGTACCCCCATGCCAATAAATAAAGGGGCATTTTTTACAATAAAGGGCCTAAGAAATTATTCTTACACTTATTAGTGTGCATTTTCTTCTTCTCTCTTATTTAAGGTATAGAACTTGGGTGAGTCTCTTAGGAAAATTCAAATTCAGTAATATGTAAATATGAAAGTTAAATGTGATATACATAAATACATAAAATTTTCAAGCTACATATGTAAATTTCCCAAAAAATTAATATAAAATACTTAAAATATATTATACAATAAGGATTTTAATATAAACTATTAAAATTAATTAAAAAATATAGTTTACTTTCATATTAAATGTTACTATTTTGTCTCTTCTAATTACTCATTTTTCTATCATTTTATTATAATAAATATCTGAATTGAAATGTATTTTTTTCTCCAATGATGAATAAGCTGGCTGAATTAGGCTGTAACAACAGTTCCAATTCAATTAATTAATTATGCTCAAGCTGGATGCTCGGCTCGGCTCGGCTCGCATATATCCCTAAGAAGCCATCACACTCTGGCTTGCGTGCTCCGTTTTCAAAGGGCGTCGTCAATTCGTAGCCGCAGTCAACTGTTCGCAGCGCCTCTTTCTGGATTTCATCGAAACTGGGAAGAAGCATAACATATTGTGAGCTCCTTCCATCTTTTACTTAGCGGCGTTTCTCATTTCTTTATTTATCTTTACGTTCTTTTTGGTATTTTCACGTCTTTTCTTCACCAACTTTCCGCCATTTTATCTGTCTCTCTGACGGTTAACTTCTTGTTGGAAAGATATAATCTGGAGCCTGCCCAAACTGCGAGCTTGTAGATATAGGTACGGAAAAGCGCCCTCCTTTATGGAAATTTTCAATGGATTTTTGGTTTCTGAGATTAAAATTATGATTTTTATGATCATATTCCGTTGAAGTTTTCATAAATTGGATGTCCGGTTGTTTTTGATTGTCGATACGGCTTCATAGTGTTCGGTTTTGAAATTGGATGTCTGGTTGTTTTTGATTGTCGATACGGCTTCATAGTGTTCGGTTTTCAAATCAGGGTTTTATCAGATGCAAATAAGGATCTCTTCAATCAGTTCTTAATCTGAAGAGCACTAAACCTAAGATAGCGTTAGATCTTTCCGCTTCATCGAATTCTGTGGAATCGATGGCATCTAAGGTTTCTGAACTGAAGTCCTACTTCAAGTTTCCATTATTGCAAGAGGTGCTAACTAAATTAACTCTGAAATATCTCTTCCTATTTGGTGATTGAAAGCCAATTTTTTTCTAACTTAAGCTTCTGTATTATTCCAACTGGAACAGAAGCAAAGATCTGTTAGAGTTTCTGACATGCAGCATCAGGTCGGCGAGCTCCACGAGGAGCTGAAGAGCGCAAAGGAGGAGAGGCAACATGCTCTTGAAGAGCTTGCTGAATTGAAGAAGATGAATGTAGATTTCAAGGGCACGATTCGGCCGATAGAATTACAAGATACAAAAGAAAAGGACACAGAAAGGAAGAACCTTGACTTAATGTTTTTTCGGACAAAGCAGCTGGAACAATCAAAGATTTCTTTTGATGGGATCAAGAATTTTAAAGAGCACTTTAGAAGGATGGAGCGATCAGCTAGAACGAGTAGTAAGAGTGACAGCAAGAGAAATGGAGCATTTGATTCTGTTCTTACGCAAGAGGATATGAGAAAGCTTAGAAATGAACTCAGACTGGCATCGGAGGCAGAAGATAATAGCCAGAAAGCCATGAATGATTTTGCCATCGCGCTTAACGAAGTATCTGCTGGCGCCCACCAAGCAAAATCGCAGCTTTCCGTTACTCGAGCTGAGCTAGAGAAAGCAACAGAAGAAACTCAAAATTCAAAATTTGTATTGCAGACAACAGGGCAGAAGTTAATGGATACTTTGAATGATTATGATAAAATGAAGTTGGAGTACGAGGAGTGCATTTCTGTCTCGAAAGCGAAAGAGGACAGCTTTTTATCCTGTATGAGGAATTCTGAAGAAGATACAGCCAAATTGAAGCAAGAGAACAGTAGACTGAATGAAATCTGTAAGATTGCAAAGGAAGATAATACTAAACTGCGTCAAATAATGAAAGAAGCAGTTAATGAGGCCATAGCGTTAAAGGAAGCACTGGAGATTGTCCGGGGTGAGAATTCTCAGATGAATGATCAACTCTTTGAAAAGGAGAACAGCTTGCAGCAAATGCAGCAGGATTATGAAAGCCTTCAAGTCAGTAAAGCTGCTGCTCTTGAGAGTATAAGAGAGATGAATACCTTACTTGCCTCAGCATCAGTTGCAGATTCAATGAAAAACCCAAAAAATTCTGATTTTGGATCATTTAAACTTCCCAAATCAACAAATCATGATGCAAAGGCGAGAAAGAGTATGTCAATATTCTCGTCCCAGAGATGGAAAGTCGATAAAAATCCGACCTTGAATCGTCGCAGGCATTCTGTGGGAGAGCCAGGAATGTTCGACGGCGAATCATTTGACAGGGAAAAATCAATCGAAAGTAGTAGTATCATGTTTAGTTCTCTTAGGAAGGCCTCTGATGATCGAGTTCCGTCGTCTTCGTTTAGGGTCGAGAAGGGAACTGTAGACACAGATAGAACTGATCATTCGGAAGGAACACAGCACAACAACATTGTTGAGATGAACCTAAAGAAAAAGAAGACAGTTTTTGGAAGAATTGGAGATGCAATCAGGAGGGCAAGCTTTCATAAGTAGTGGCCAATAATTTCAGGCGAGTTGGGAATTTGATTAAACTTGATCTTTTAAGAGCCCTTTGTTTTTTTTATTTTTTTATTTTTATTTTGTATTTTTATTTATTTTATTTATGTTTTGATCTGAAATAGAATTTGTTTGGCTATTTGATTGAAGTATAATTATTTTTAAAAACACTTAAAAAACACGGGCCATTTGATTTCACTTTTATTTTTTATTTGTAAATTTTATTTTTTTTTTGTTTATATTTTTATTTGAACTAAAATATATTTGTTATTTGATTAAACATTGTTGATTTTAAAAACACAAAACAACTAAAAGTTATTTTAAGTGTGTTAAAAAACAAGTTAATTTGTTTTTAGAAATAGAAAATAAAATTTGTAAAAAATACACCAAACAAATATGTTCTTAAAAATAAAACAACAAACAAAAACAAAAACAAAATTGATCCCAAAAAAACCCTTCTTGTGATTATAAATTTTGAAACTTAATATGTTTTGAATTCATAATTGTTGAATCTCTTTTGGACGTATGATCTCGTGTATTTTGTGAATTGATACAGTCTAGAAAAGACCTTATAAAAGAAAAGAGAAGAAGCTGATGAATTTTTTATAGGGGAAAAGAGAGTTAGAGTCAAGCTCTCTCTATTCTTTCATTTGCTTGCTATTTAGACATCATTTAGCCTATATGCCCGTGCAGATTTTTAAGGAATAAAATAAAAAGCTAGTTATAGAGAGTATAGTACGGAGCATGAGCAAACTTGTTGTTGACATGATCCTTGGTATGGGCATCAGGCATCCAAAAATGGTTACACATATAATGATGGATAGAATTTATCTTCCTTTCGCCTCAAAGAAAGGTTCATCGAGCTCAGTGATACAACTCGGTAGTTGTCGACGTGCTTGATATGAGGAATTAATTAGTACAGATGAGCTTGAAGAACTCGGGAAATGTGAGTGAGCTTGGCTAGAGGAGCTCGCTTAAACACTTAAGCTTAGTGAGCTCCCATGCGTGAATGTTGTCGAGCTTTGGAGGTACTCGTGCAGTCCTTCTGAATGGCAAGAAACTTTGTAGGTTGTCACCTCCAACGATATGATTAACGAGTATGATTTGTCCGATTATCACGAAACCATTATGTGTATGTTTGGTGGGCTTGATCTATTAGAGCCATTTAGTATCTGGACTTCCCTGTTACTCAAAAAACACATTTTTAGATATACAACAATAGAAACTCACTTTTAGATATACAAAAATAGAAAACAAAGATAGTTTGACATGTGTTTTGCATTGAGAATAGTGTCTGAGCTCATGCTATGTTAGTAATTTATAGAACCATCCTATTACTTTCTGTCTTCATCATCATTATATACCTCCTGCCTTCATCTAGTGATTCATAAATTTGTTAATTTTTTAAATATTATATTAACTTATTAGTAGTCTAATCTTTGGGGTTAATTATTCTATTCTTTATAGCAACATAAATTTGTGTTGTTGATCATTTCAAAATTATGTATGATTTTTCGCAAATGATAGGAAAATATTAAAATTTTATTTCAAATGACATTTTGATCCGTCTTGCTTGGTAGATTTCATGCATTTTCAAGCTTAAAATTCTTCAATCTTCAAGATTGTCCCATAAAATTGATTTAAAATATCGATGCTCTATGCTTGGGTCATGCTTGAGAGCTCATGCGAAAAGTTCATGAAGTTTATTTTGGGATCATAATTTGCTATTTAGTGCTTTGAAATGAGCTATTTCCTAGTCCAAGTAATGATGAAAATAGAAAGATTATGCAAAATAGTGCAGGCTATTTTGACTATGTTTAAAGTAAGGCCAATAAATAAATAAATATATATATATATATATATA